AAAAATATAGGAGGATAATGTCAGAGCAAGAGGCTGGAAGGATAAGGATTTAGACATGTAAAATAAGGGACAGGAACTCCTGCACAACTTTCAGAGCCGGTGGGAGCTGGGCGTGTCCAATACTGAAGATCAGAGGAACCAAGTAGAAGAGATAGTTTAAAAAAAATGGTAGAGCCCAATCCAAGAACAGGAAAGACTTCTATAGAACTCGAAACTTTGAAGAGAGGAACTAGAAAATGCTCATGGTAACAACTAAACCGTCGGGTATGTGCTGTCAAAGGATGCCCAAGAGCTGGGTATTGTGGGACATGTCTGTTGTCCTGTCACCCAGGAAGATGAGGCAGGAAGATTCCAAGTTCAAGTCTAGCCTGGACAACATAGTGAGACCCTACGTAAAACCACAGTAACAAAAATGAACCTAAGAAAGCAGGCTGAGATATGACCCAGCACTGGACACCAGGGACCCTTTGTGACTATTGCATCTTTAACTTATGGTACACAAAGAGGTGTCTTAAAGAGACCAGAGTCACAGCGGTATTGCTGTGTAGAAGGAAATGATGAACAAAGATGGAGGAAGGGCTGCCATGGGTGTGTGGGGATTAGTGAGTAGCCTGCTCAACAGCGGTGGAGACAGGAACCAGAAGACACCTGACCTGATGATGACCAGGCATGGCCCCAAGCAGGATGTCCATCAGGGGCAGTGTTTCCTGAGGACAATCCGGTTCCTCTGAAGGCATATCCAGTCTGTGCCGATTTGGTCATCCTGGCAGCTCTGTAATAATAGCCCTGTTCCCATTCTCTCAGTAGCTTTTGGCGGTCCTTCAAGCCAATAACACTCACTGTAGTTGGGATGGATTGTGATCACCCTCTTAACAGGGACAAGATCCACATTTTATAGGTCCTCAGTATTTGTGTTGCCCCACAATTCCCCCAAGGCTATTGTGAGAAAGAAGACCTGGCATACTCAGATGCAGGAAGCGGGGCTCAAGCCAAGAATGGCTGAGCCACATCCTGGTTGAGCTAGGAGGCACTAGAATGTGTGACTAGGATAAAAAGGCTTACGTCATAGAGGAAGCAAATGAATGTACAACAATTCTCAATGTTACTTGTGTGTGTGTTTGCATGAATGTTTGTCTGTGTTCTACATGTCTGCATTGCCTGCAAAGGCCAGAAGAGGGCGCTGGATCCCCTGGAACTGGAGTTACAGATGGTCCTAAACTGCTATGGGTGCTGGGCACTGAACCCTGGTCCTCTGGAAGAGTAGCCAGTGCTGTTAATTGCTTAGCCATATCTTCGGGTCCACAACCGTTGAGTTTTCTGGCTTAGGGCATGCATTTTGTTCATCTGTCTGGTGATAGACTCCTGCCTGCCGTGCTGACAAGTGAACTCATGTGTTATGAAAATTCCTGGGGAAGAGTTTACAGAAAAGGCTTCTCTGTCCAAGGACTGGATGCCTGGACCTCTAATCTCTGTCCTTAGGGGACATACTGTCACCATTTCTAGTGTGAGGGCTCTGGGGTGCTGTGTAACCTTCCAGTAATCAGAATCACCTCCCTAAGCAGGAGCCCCAATGCGGGTCTGTTGTGACGGCAGGCAGCTGTCACCTGTGTTCCCATGAAGCCCGACGAGGACTCCCTTCTCATCAGAAGAGACTTCTCCGGTGGCTGCCCTGACTGATGACATTGGGGAAAGGACTTGGGTCTTGGATGGGATGACAGACTTTGGGTGACTTTTGCCTCCTTGCACCCATTTTACAAACCAGGACAGACCCTCTGACACTTCTTGTCCCTTTTCGTCAAACCAAAACATTTCCTTCTGGTGGGCAGGAGGAGAATCCTAAGCCTTAGAAAGCTAAGGAAACTTTACAGAAAGTTACAAGATTCTTTAAAAAAAAAAAATATTTATTTATTTTTGAGACAAGGTCTCTCTATATAGCTCTGGTTGTCCTGGAACTCACTCTGTAGACCAGGCTGGCCTCAAACTCACAGACAGCTGCCTTTCTCTACCTGCTGAGGGCTGGGATTAAAGGTGTGTGTCTCCATGTCTGGTGATTCATTTACTTGTTTTTATTATTTAATTTAGTCAGGAGCTTCTTAAGCCTCCTCCCTCAAGGCTGTAACAGCAGAGGACAGCTGCTGGGGAGAGGGTATCTCTGGTGGAAGTGCCTGCGAGGTGTGCAGGAAGTTCCAGGATGCAGCGCCCACGCGCGCGGGGGTGGGGGGTGGGGGGTGAGGGGTGGGAGGTGGGAGGTGGGGGGTGGGCGCGCGGGGGGCGGGGTTCTCTGGTAATGCGGCACGAATGCGGCACCTTTAATGTGACCATGTCCTTCAGTGACCATGCTCCTGTGAATAACCCCAGTATGCCACGGGCCCACCTAGACTTGGGAGGGATTTTGTTTGTTTGTTTGTTTGTTTCGGTCCATCATCCATGCTCTAGCTTGGGTGTATAGACATTCACCCCAGAAAGAGTCACACAACAGCTCACATTCCTCCTTTAGAAGGCTCTGCCATCACTGATTAAAGTCACAAATAAGGGCGGCTTCTGTTAGCCTAGAAGATGACAGGATTTGAGGAGCAGATCACTGTCTTAGCTGCTTCTAATGATCAATTCAGGAGTTTGGGGAGGACTTCCAATTTGAGGGTTTTTTTTTTTTCAAGTTGACTAGTGTGTTACTTACGCTGGGAAACCACTATGATCCCTTTCCTCCGCGGCCCCAACCCTTACCTGCGGCTTCAGAAAAACAGAAGAAGTTACATGGATAAAACATGCCAGAGCCTGTAGACTCCTCCTGCAGCACACCTCGCTTGGGTTCCCTTCTGTCGTTTTCCGGTTTCCCTTTCCACGGAAGGAGCAAGCAGTGTTGCCACGTGGAACAGGCTGGGATATTCCCTTGGTCATGGCTTTCAACGTGAATCATTAACTGTCAGCTTCTGACACTTGTCCTCCACTACACCAGGTTTCAGGTGAGTGTGGGTGTATCGGTGTGGGTGTGGGTGTGAGGGTGTGTGGGGGGGTGTGCTTCCTTACAAAGCATCCTGTAAGCCACATCGTGGAGAGCCCCTTTCAGACTCTTACGAGCACCAGACACTGAGCCTGTGACATGAGGACACGGAGGCAGACGGTCTTTACGTGGGACTCCGGGATGGAAGCAGATACAGCCCAGTGCAAATGAAGTCCTTCGGGATGGTAGTCAGGTTGGCACAACCTGACCAGACAGATGAGTCATCTTAGGAGACGTAATCCATGGGTGGTGCCAGGAGGCAAGGTCACACTGCCCGCGTGCTCTTGTTTTAGAGTTGCCTTGGTATTGATCCACAAGGGTTACAGCAAAACACGTGGCTGTTCTTTGGGCAAACAAGCATGGGCACCCCCATACTACCACAAGGGTCAGAGAAAAGGGTTGCTGACCCTAAGGGAAGAATGTTGACGTGGGCTGAGATGTTCATTTTTATTTTCAGCTGTGAGCCCCCACAGGATTAAACAGTAAGAAACAGTGGGATCTGGAATTAATTAGACTTGGTTTTAATTACAGCTCTTCCATTTACTCAGCTCAGGTTATTTTACTTTGTAAAACTTGGGGTTTTATTGTTGCTTTTGTTGTTTGTTTTTTTCTCCTCTGTAAAATGGAGATAAAACTACATCATGGAGCTATGAGAATGTAATAAAATGATATTGTAGATGTGCTTGCTAACTCAAGCAGCCAGTACCTTACTGCCTGGGAGACCAAGTGGCCATGACAGTTTTCAGCCCACTAGCAGCTCTGACAAGTCTCGAGGCCTCATTTTCAGCTCTGCCTTTAGGAACCTTGGGTCCTGAATCTCTTTTCATTTATCATACTGTCGATTTTATCACAATACTGTAGTGCTGCTGCGAACTCAGAAAACACACGGTTCTGTTCCTGCTGTGCAGCGGTGAGGGCAGGCAAGATTGTGCATGTCTACAAGAGAAGAAGCCTGGCTTTCTAGTAGTCTCCGAACACTCGGGTTCTGGGCACATTAGTTGTGGGGAATCTCACCAGGCATGTGACATGGGTGCCTCTGGGAAGAGGACTCAGTGGTGAGTGATACGTCTACCAAACACAGGTCTCCCTTAGGTCTATGTGAGTACGAGATGCGTGAAGAGTTGTGTGTTAAAGATGTCTATCAACTGAGGATAGACAGGGAAAATGTGGTACCTATAGGCCATGAAATTTTATTGATCTGTAAAGAAAAATGAAATCTGCAGGTAAGTTGCTAGATCTGGAAAACATGATGCTGAGTGAGGTGACCTAGACCCAGGAAGACAAAAGCGGCACATTCTCACTTACATGGGGATCCTAGATCTGTGTGTTCAACTCAGAGTAACTGTCCAATCCTGGAAACCAGAAAGGGGCACTGGTGGGGCAGGGGTGGCAGGCACAGGTGACATGGAGGGATGGAGTAATGGGGAGGGAGTTTTAAGTGGGGGTGGGATGAGAGAGTAGGGTGGAGGAAGGGGTAGGAGGAGGGATAAACAACACTAAGGATGTTTGGAAAAGCCATATGGGGGCTGAAGTGGTCTAAAGCACTCGTTGCTCTTGCGAAGGAATTGGGTTTAGTTCCCAGGACCCACATGATGGTTTACAATCATCTGTAACTGCAGATGCAAGGGATCTGACACCCTCTCTGACATCCGTGAGTACTAGACATGTACATGGTTGACCTACATTAGATGTAGGCAAAATATCCACACACATAAAACAAACAAATTTTTTAAAAATTTAAAGAGTTCAATTGATGATACCCTAGAAAGAGGATAATATGCCTCCCAGAATCCATAGCTTGCCATATAAAAAGTCCAGTCTCGAGTATAGGATATTCCCCCTTGAGTTGTGGGTCAAGAGTACCCCGGATACAACCTCAAACAATACAGGCTGTTGCCATTGCTATCTGTTGTCCACTAGAACATGACAGCTAGACCCTATTGCTAAAGACATTATATACTTTGGCCTTAGGACATGGAGAAATCAAGGTTTTACTCACCAGGAAGCCTCCTCGCTGCTACCTCGCTCTCAGAGAACCAGAAGATGCTCTGCAGGGAGCTGGGACAAAAAAAAAAAAAAAAAAAAGAGATCCATCAACAGTCTCACCCAGCTGTGAACCCTGTGATTCACCATAATGACCAGCATGACAAGATATGCCCAGAGGAGGAAAAAGATTTTTCTTTACAGATCAATAATGGCATGAACGTTGCAGGGATAACAGATTGTTCTCTGAGTGCATTTAAGTCTTGCTTCCAAGAAGAAAATAAATGCCTGGTATTGCAAATCTGGCCAAGAACCCATGGTTGGGAAGCCCATCGGTTCCAATTACTATTATTCTGCTAAATGGACATACTAGACTGCCTTCTAAGTTCTGATTTTGATATCCAAAGATTTGTACAACTCATCAAAGAAATTTGTTTGTGCCGGGCGGTGGTGGCGCATGCCTTTAATCCCAGCACTCGGGAGGCAGAAGCAGGCGGATCTCTGTGAGTTCGAGGCCAGCCTGGTCTACAAGAGCTATTTCCAGGACAGGAACCAAAAGCTACGGAGAAACCCTGTCTTGAAAATCAAAAAAAAAAAAGTTTGTTTGTTTGTTTTGAGACAGGGTTTCTCTGTGTAGCTCTGTCTGTCCTGTAACTTGCTCTGTAGACCAGGCTGGCCTCGAACTCACAGAGATCTACCTTCCTCTGACACTCAAGTGCTAGAATTAAAGGTGTGTGTCACCACCACCAGCCCAGAGAAGTTTCTTTTGTGCAGTGAACAACGGTTAACAGAAACTCATAACTTGTTAGAGAGAAGAGTGTGTCTGCAGAACTCTCAGCACAAAGGGGGCATCTATATCTACTTCCTACCCACAAGAGGGGCCATCTCAGAAAATGGGACAGAAAGATTGTAAGAGCCAAAGGTGAGGTTAAAGAGCGTCCTCTGGGCAGGACAGCCCGGCTGCACCCACGAACTCAGATCTAGTGGTTGCCTGCTCTAGATCTGTTCATCAAGCCAGTTAACACTGTGGCATGGGGAGGAACTTACAAGCCCCTGCTTCTAGCTGAGGAACTAATACCAGCTGACTTCTCGGGGAGCGGGAATAAGTTGGCCACCTTCCAGTGAATGACCCCACACTTATGAATAAGTGGGCATCATAACCTATTAAAAAAAAGGAGGGTGCAAGTTGGGATGGGTTGAAAGGTAGAGCTGAGGAGAGTTAGAGGGAAGAATGGGGGATATTGTCAAAATACATTATATGCATATATGGATTTTTTTAAAAAATAATTTATTTAGACAATATTTTTACACTCCTCATTCCTGTACACAAATAGTCATTGACAACTTTATGACAAAGGATGAGGGATAATGGGCATCAAATAGGAATCAAAGATTATTTGATCAGTTATTTATCTTACTGACAGATACCCGACAAAAGCAACTTAAAAAAGGACAGATTTATCTTTTGCCCCCCAGTTTGCAGGCATGGCCCATCACGGCAGCAGGAGAGAGGTGCTGATCACACTGCATCCACAGTCAGAGATGGATGCTGGTGCTCGGCTCCCCATGTCCCCCATATTGGGTCTTAGGAATGGCTCTACCCATATTCCGGGTTTATTTTCCCCGCCTTGGTTCACCCTTTCTGGAAACTTCCTCATAGACACACCTCGAGGTCTGTTTTCATGGTGATTCTAAACCCAGTCGAGTTACAATGACGATTACCCATCTCAATTATGTCACGTGCTTCTAGAATTAGCATTATAAGTGTCGTCGATATCACTGCACAGGCTGTGTTTGAAACCTCGGTGTCCTCTTAGGCTCTTCTTTTTGTGTAATCCTGTGTGCAGTTCGTCTGTGCAGTGTGTCTGTCATTCACCCATCACACCAGCAGCCTGGTCGGGTCCTCTTACCTAGAACTATTAACACAGATTTTCCCCAACACAGAGGCAAACTCTAGGATGGAAGTGAGGGAGAGGAGAGGGTGAGACAGAGGTGGAAAAGCCAGCAACAGGATGCATTACAGTAGAGACAAATCTCATGGGGATCATGAAGGAAGGATAGAGAATGCCTTCCAGAACAGCCGTCTAAGGGAGAGAAGACAGACATTCACTCAATACTTGCTCCTTCTGGTTGAGGAGAACCCTGTCTACGTTTGTCCTGTATCCAATGGGGCAACGGGATTCCTAAAGAAAACCTGGGCCATCACCAGAAAGACTAGTGAATGTCATCTCAAGTCACTGGTGGTCTGATGTGATGCAATATTTCTTCCTTCCTAGTGTCTGATGACCAGGCAGCCGAGAAAATGTTCTAATGCATCTTCTTCCTGTCTCTGTATGTCTGGCTCCAAACTATCCTAAATCTAACGACAGCTGAATCTTCCTAACAAACAGCTCTTACTATGTATTGCTCTGCTTGAAAAGTATTTCCCCCCCCCCCCCCCCCCCCATACAGGGATTCTCTGAGTAACAGTCCTGGCTATCCTGGAACTTGCTTTGTAGACCAGGCTGGTCTCAAACTCACAGAGATCTGCCTGCCTCAGTCTCCCAAGTGCTGAGATTAAAGGTGCGCACCACCACCACCTCCTGGCCTGCTTGAAAATATTTAATATCACCTTCTCTTCATGATAGTCTGGGGGAACATCAGATTCTTTCAGTGTCACTCCAGGTCCTTGAGAACTTACCTCAAGCTCATAACTTTTAGAGTAACCCAGGAGCGGTCTGTCAGCCTTGTTCGAATATGCATAAGCACGCCAATACTTCATCTGGGCATGCTCTATCCTCTGCCTGGAGAGTGTTCTTTCTCCTTAGATGCTGAAATCCTATCCAACCCTCAAAGGACAGTTCAGATGTCACCTGTATCGCTTTCAATTGTTGCATAACAAATTACTGGGGACACAGTGGCTTCCGTGGTTTGAATGCACAGACTCTCCCAAACTCATGCTGAGATTTAGTTGACAATGAAGCGGTATTGAGGGGAGAGGCCTTAAGAGGTTCAACCCCAGCAGGCAGATCCCCATGAGTTCAAAGCCAGCCTGGTCTACACAGTGAGTTCTAGGACAGCCAGGGCTACACAGAGAGACCTTGTTTCACTCCCCCAAAGTAAGTCATAAGGGTTCTGTCTTCCCTGGTGAGTTTAATGCCTAAACTAAAGGGTTTTGGGAGCAGCTCTCTTTTTACTCTTCTAATTTCTGCCACCTGAGTTCCAGCCTTTCTTCCCTCAGAGGGTGCAGCATGCCATGTGCCATCTTGGAAGAAGACAAGCTGCCATCTTTCCTTCCTTCCTTCCTTCCTTCCTTCCTTCCTTCCTTCCTTCCTTCCTTCTTCCTTCCTTCCTTCCTTCTTGACTTTTCATTTTTCTGTTTCTAAAACTTAGTGAATACATTTGTTTGTTATACTTTGTTTTGTCTCAAGCTTTATGTTAAGGACATGAACAAACACTTCAGTGCCTCAAACTAAGGAGATGGGAGGCTGAGGCAGCTTAGCTGGGCTCTCTGCTTAGAGTTTCACAAAGTCGAGGTGTTAGCCATAAGGGGTGGGAACCTGGCATTCTTGAGACAAGTCAGATTCCAGTCTCCTCTGGGCTCTCAGCCAGATTCAATTCCAAGTGGCTGCAGAAACGTGGGCTGTGTATCCTTATTGGCTATTGGCAGGGGAATGTTTTCAGGGGCCCTTTCTGTGTCAGCAATGGAGAATCTGTGGCACTTCATGGCCCTCTTCACACTGAGTTTCTGTAGTTTCCTCTACCGCCAGCAGGAGAAAACTGTACTTTTAAAGCGCTTCCGCGATGAGACTGGCCCCTCCAGGACATAACCGTGCGAGTGACGAGTGACGTCTTAACCGTGGGGGTGACGTCTCTCGTGCACAGACTTCAGTGCCAGAGGGCAAGAGAGCAGACAAGAGCGAGTGGGTGTTGGGATAAAGATTAGAATTCTACGTCACCACCACTTCCAGAAGGCCAGTCCTTGCTCCTGGTAATAAAAACAGTCTTCGCACCTCACAGCACTTCCTGCTAATGAACTCATGCTTGCGCCGGAGTCTCTATGATCTCATTTTCCTCTCCACAAGTGAAGGCCCTTGATTTTGTTTACTTTCCATCTGTCTTAGTGTTGGTTAATTAAAATGTGATTACAATTATGCTAGAAGATATTTTGGTATTGCCTGTGCTTAAATAAAATACTGTATAAAAGACAAAATGTAAAAACCATCAAAAACGTAAGTCGGAGTAAGTGAAGTCTATAAGAAAGTATGTACTATATATAATCAATATAAGACAGAGACTCTTGCTATTGTGCCTAGGCTGGTTCCAAACTCCTGGGTGTAACTTACTACACTTGGGCTCAGCTAATCCTCCTGCCTCAGCCTCTCAAATGTTTGGCAAAGTAAATGGACATCACCAAGCCCAGCTTGAATATAATTTTTGCTGACATCTTTTTTTCATGACTCTTTTTATTCTATCATCTTGGTGAGTTAAATATGAAATATCATTTACTTTATTGCTATTTTCTTAAATTCTGTAATGTTTTTATTGTGGAACTAAGTTTTTTAGCAAGTGATAAGGTATATGCCTTCCTAAAAACCCATTTAATTGGAATTTTAAAATTCAACCTAATAATCCACCTTTTATTTGGTGTGTTTTACCATTTATATATTGTGATAACCAATGTATTTAGACTTGTCCTATTATCTAATTTTGTGAATGTGGGATGGGGGTTGGGGGTTGGTAACCCTACCTCTTTTTTTTTAAGACAGGGTCTCATGTAGTCAAGGCTTAACTCAAACTTGCTGTGTACCCAAAAATGACCTTGAAATCTTTATGCTCCTCCCTTCCCTTTCCAAATGCTGGGATTACAAGTGTGTACAACCACGTCAGACATTAAAAATACTACCCTTTTACCTTTTCTTCTGCCTGTTAACAATGGTAATTCATATTCTCTCTCTCTCTCTCTCTCTCTCTCTCTCTCTCTCTCTCTCTCTCTCTCAGCATTCCTCAGCTGGCTTTGGCTTAGGCTTTGAGGACTTTTGCTGTCCACGTTACTGAGCATGTCTTTTGCTGTCCATCTCATGCTTAGGTGGTCA